AAAGTCGCTACGCCTCTGCCCGCACAGCCTCTTCTACTTGTGTTTGTACTATTTATTTTTGATGGGGAGAAGAAATTCTGTAAATACACATAGTCTGATCTCGTCGCTTTTCTGTAACTAACTACAAACTGTATGGCATTACAGGTTTGGAAAAGAAAAGTTAAAAATTGTCTAACTTTGTATAAATATTTCTAACGTTATATAAATATTTTACAGGACGGATATTTCTAGTACCTGATAATAGTTATTTAATGTCAGAGGCCTTGTACTATGTGATATTTTTCTTTTTAAAGATATTTGCAATTTTGATTTTCAATCCAATAATAGGAGCCAATGCCCAATACGGAATCTTCTCCATCAATACATACAAATTACATGTATCAAAACATAAATGACATATTCTTGTTGCTCCTCTTTATTTATGAGATATCTTTAAACATATCCATATACTATATTGTATATAAAAACAATGCTGCTGTTAAATATGATATAAAAATCTATTTAAAAATTTTAATTAGGAAGCTTACAAAAAGACTTTGCATATATTAAATGTCAGCTATGAAAGATTAATGAAAAGAAAGTAAAGCATGTCAATTCCAGGTATTTATGCATTCTTGTATTGAGCCGAATAAATTTCATGATAAAAGAAAGCACAGATGTTAAGAAATACTTGTAAAGGAACAAGCATATTTGTTATTATATTAGTTTCACAAATAATGCTAACAACATAAATAAAGAATTATTTAATTAAAATAAATAAATAAACAAATAAATAAATATTAGATAGCTAAACAAACAAACCTATAATTAATAAACAATTTGCTTACCAAAACAGTAAATAAATGTTCTTAAAAAGTTCACAATGAAAACATGCCTGAGCAAAACGTACTTAATACTCTTGTATTTTTTTATTTATAGCAATAATAATATCCTACAAATTTTTGCTGTTTATCTGGCAAAATCTTTAAAGGTGCGAGAATCAGTGTGTTAATCTTGGGATCGTTATATTTTGCGGTTGTGCCGTATTTTTAATACATTCGTGTAATTTGGGCCGACGGCCTATGTTATAAATTATTATTATTATTATTATTATTATTATTATTATTATTATTATTATTATTATTATTATTATTATTATTATTATTATTATTATTATTTAAAACTGTTTGTAATGCTAATTTTTTTATATAATTCCAGTCAATATTTCGCTCATACTGCTGTTAGTTCTCAGTTTATTATTTACTCTTGGTTTTTATCGAACATGTGATTTGATGTCAAAAAGTTGTTCCTGCAGTGGGTATTAATTAGGACCACTGCCAGCAATTTAAAATTTAAAAAGATAGAACAATTCAAAATTCTGAAGCGTTATTGCATGACTTGTCTCTTTCATCTCGAGTTCATCCAAAGCAGCTTGCACGGAATGGATTCATATTTTTTTCAGAAACTTAAAAAATTTTGCATTGTTTTAAATGTGTCAAAATCTGAAAATCCACTTCAAAAAAGTGTTGGTTAATAATCTTGCAAGCATTTTATTTGCGTTGCTTCACAATGAATTTGTACTCTCTGCCAATGCCAGACTTAGTGGACAAAATCAATGAATTATGAATTCTCGGTTGAAAGAAGTTCAGGAAGGCTCGTATGTTACAGGTTGATTTCCTTTTGAAGTACCATTCAGGGCCACTTCGGCCATTTTAACATTTATATAGTTATAGAGCAACGATCAAGGGGTTTAGAAATGTTGTGGTACAAGCTCTCGTTCCCCCTTGAGTTCATCTGCATCGACACTGAGGACGTATGAAGAGTCCATTGCGAAATTGGGATCAATTTCTTCCGACACTTTCGAGATTCTACAGTTACTATTGTTTTCAATGTAGAGTGTTAGGAAATAGGTGTACGTATTTCACCTCAAAATTACTCTTCTAACGAACTTAGATACGAAGATTAATGTCTTAAAGAATGAATGTTGCTATTGAAACAATTCTGTTTCCATCTTGTCCAAATTGTATTTAGCAAGAACACAATGCTGGAATGTGTCAATCTATTCCCCTGGCTATAATGAAGCGACTAATGTGTTTATCCGGTTAGCTTTCGGTGCAAAATAAAAACTACTACCTGCTTATTGAAACAAGATATATGTATCCACGTAGACGTTGTGGGCAACCTGAATAGTTCTGTTTTTGCCCTTTTAATTACTTTTAAATCCCCAGGTGTAAAGGATTAGTAAACACGAACACCTGGGCTCGACGTGAAATGTTTGCTCGGACACGTTAAATACCCAACAAACGGATAATTAGTGAAGTTCCACAGTATTTATTAATACTTCTTTTTTCATCTTGCTACTTAAAAAAGTAAATAATACTGATTGGAATTTGTAGAACTAGGCAGAAACTTCTACCATTAAGGTTATTAAACAATATATGGAACACCACTTTCCAATTTTAATAGCGTATATATCAATCATTTTAATCCCCTTCCTCAAACACCTACCCACCGTTCAAGTATATCATTCATTTTTCAACTTGAAAACTACACTATCACATTTTAAACATTTTTCTATTCAAGATTTTGATG